TCTGCTTCTGGAAGTTTCCTGATTTGCCACCATCTCAGTGTGACTTTGGGCAAATTACTTAGCCTCTTGGTGTCTTAACTCCCTTACGAGTGAAATAAAGGGTTTGGACCCGCCAGAGTTCATTGAGTCCCCAAATTCAGTGATGCTATGAAACCAAAGCCAATGTCCTTTCCTGATGGTCCCTGAGCACTTGGGTATTTTTCTCAATTTTGATCCCCAGTGAAACTGCCCAAAGCCTGGGGCAGTTCATAGGACCTTCCAGAAAAGAACCTCCATCTTTACAGAGTCAAAAATGTCAGCGTTGGCAAGGACCCAGAGTTCATCTGTCCCATGCCTTATCTGATGTCAGAGTATCTGTCATAGATTCCTGGACTGTTTGACTATCAATGCCACGGTCCCCAGCTTCCTAAACAGCTTAGTGCATTTCCCAGAACCCTCTGATTCTCAGAAGTGTTCCCACTTGCCAGCCATTTATTTTGCTAAACATCTATGCCAGGTACAGTGCTAAGCCTGTGAACGTAAAAACAATTGTCTTCATCCCTACCCTGGTAAGTCTCTTTTGTTAACACACACCCTTGTATTACTTGACCTCCTAGATGTCTATATATATTTGAGCGTTACAGTAAAAGCTCTGTCATCTCAGAAATATAGCCAAGCTTCTGAAATTTTCCTCTTACACAGTTTCAATTTAATGATTGGACCTTCAAATACAATAGAAGCACACTTCAAATGGGGGTTGACAAAATTACAAAGTTAGAATGTCTCTGGGGCCTTGAACTCCACAGAACAGACCAGACTCCACGGGGAAGATATTTTCTGCCAAACTACACAAGAAGAAGGCAAAAACCTTCTTAATCCATGAAAAATGAATGGTGTTTTAATGCTGCAGTCTACTTAGAAATGTGAGAAGACAATGAGTTAATCAGAAAGTGCTCATTAAAGCCACTGTTGTCCCAGCGTCAGATTAATGCACTCGGGTCCCCTCCCCCTGGAATGGGGAACTAAGGGGGTACTGCATTTGCTTGGCGTGGCATTGCAAAGAAAGCTGGGTCTGCAGGGTTTTTAGTCCCCTCTCTCTGTTCCATGCTTACAGCCCAACAGGAGACTAAACAGCCCCTTGGAATTTGAAGTAATGAAATTTGAGCTGCGTGCTTGATTTGCAAGAGACAGAACCACTAGACAATAAGAAAGGATGGCTGACTGCTGGAGAAGCAACAGAGAGACGAGCAAGAGAGAGGAAGGCAGGGGAAATAGAGAGGGAAAGGTGTGAGAAAGGAACAGAATAGTGGCTCCTGGTGGTGTTAGGAGCAGGACCCCCTGGGAATCTAATGAAAACCACAGGCCAGAAAACTATACACGCACACATAATTTTTGCGTGCAATTTCAGAGGGCTCGTGGATCCCATTAGTTCCAACTACAGACTTGCATCCTTAGGGCCTATCCGTCCGAAGATGGTCCGGATGAAGAATTTCTCCTCTAGAGTCTTAGCAGATGGCAAAAACTAGGGGGGAAAAAGGTCACCTTGTTGTCACAAAGACCCACACCCAAGTGGCTAACTACCTTATCAAACAGCCGCCTCTCAACGTAATGACCACTTACTGAGACGTACTAGGTGCTCAATGGTATGTGAGCTTCTTTAGATGTTCCAAGAACCATGTTATGAAACACCAGGGATTTTTAAGGCTTTTTCCCTGCCAGCAAGGTCGAGCCAGCCCCTGCCAGCCAAAGTCAGCCCCCAGGGAAGCATAAATTGGCACAACCACTTTGCAGAGCCATTTGCCAATGCCTGGTGAAGCTGAGGATACACAGAGTCCACGACTCAGCAATTCCACTCCTAGGTATACGCCCTAGAGAAATCCACTGGCGAGAATGAAGGGACAGCTTGGTTCAAAATAGCCCAAAGCTGGAAACAACCCAAATAGATAAATACATGGGAGGATATTCATACTGGAGAATACTATGCAGCAGTGAAAAGAGACGAATGAGACCTAGCCTTGTCAATCAGATTAATCTCGTGTGGAGTGCAGAGGGAAGGCTGGAGAAGGAAACATTTACGGAGAAATTTAAAACAGCGCTATATATATTTTCTTATGTGGTCACAACGTAGAACAGGTGCTACCTATGTCTCATATTCTTTTTTTTTTTTTTTTTTAAAGCAGGCTTTATGCCCAGCACAGAGCCCAACGTGGGGCTCGGACTCACAACCCTGAGATCAAGAGACCTGAGCTGAGATCGAGAGTTGGACGCTCAACCAACTGAGCCACCCAGGCGCCCCTATTTTTTATGTTCTTATTTATACGTGTATAAAAGGGCAAATACATATAGACGCAAAACTCAGAAAGTGCTTCTGGATGGGGAAGATAAAGTCACGAGGCCAGGGAAGAGAATGCAGGGGACTTACACAGCCCAGCCCCAGGGCCTTTGCATGTGCTATTCCCTCTGCCCAGCACTTTCCTCCTTCAGCCATCCTCAAGTCTCATTCACTCACCAGCTTCAGCTGTTCATTCAAATACTGCCCTCCCCGTGAAGCCTTCCCCGGTTTCTGGCCCTCCTGCCCATAACACATCCTATCCTTTCTCTGATTTATTTTTTCTCTGTAGCCCTCCCTGCCATCTAACACACTAGATATTTCATTCATTCACTCGTTCATTCACTTAGTCTTCCTTCACCATTGGCCATCTGTTGCACACAAGGAGGGACTTTTATCTGTTTGTTCACTGCTGTGTCCCAGAGCCTGGCGCGTAACAGGTGCACAAAACATACTCATCGAATGATTATTTGCGTACGTGAGTATCTGTGGTGTTATTCTCTACCTTTTGAATATCTGAATATTCAACAACAACAACAACAAAGTCAGCTATTAGGATGCACAGATGGAATTCCTAGTAAGCTATGAAAAAGGTGCCCCACGCCGTAACATCTCCCTGGACCCCGTCAAAGTCCCAAGCCACGGGACCGTGGGCACGGCCAACAGAGGTCCCTCAGTGAGCACTCAGGCCCACCAGGGCTAGCCCAGGTCCTCCTAACAGACCACTCACATCCGAACGCCTCTACTGAAACAGCCCAATATTACAAAGCTCCTTTTGGGAAAAGCAACATTGCCCGGAAACAACAAATGTGCTCAAAACCTGAATTGCAGGAGCCCAGCCATCGCAGCATGGGAGCTGAGACCCGTGACATCTGCCAGGAGAGACGGGATCTGGAAAAGCAGCAGAGCCCAGAGGAGGAATATTATCTTAGAAGAGAACCATGACCCCACCGAGGAGAGCGATGACCCCACAGAGGAGAGGGGTGACCCCACAGAGAAGAAGGGTGACCCCACAGAGGAGAGGGGTGACCCCACAGAGGAGAGGGGTGACCCCA